ATGTTCACTCTTTCGAGGTGTTCGTAGCATCGGGTGTTCACTCCAGCCAGATAACACTGTATTACATAAAAAATTAAAATATGTGTGCCAAACGAAATAATAAAATTTTGAAGAAAGGACTTTAAAGAGGGATGCCACCTGCTTTAAAAGTCGAATTTATTTAATTTATATACAAGTTCTCTAAGTAAACGAAAGAGATTTGAGAAAACTTTAGTTTGAAAATATTATTTCAATATGCGCTGGATATAAAAAAAAAACACAAAATCAAACGAAGTAACCGTTACACTACAAAAAATTACTGCGACGACACTAAAAGTACAGTTAAGTCGGCGTAACGACGTTGCCACTGCAAAAGAGCGAGGAAAAATTAAGACAACATATTTTGTTATGGTTATTGCTATTGATTGTTGTTGTTGCCCTGCTGCACCAATAAAATCCATCACGAAGGCGCAACAAGTAACGTTCCGATATGCGAGCTGCGGGTATGAAGAAGATACAAAATACGAATTTATTTGAATAAAACAAAACGTTTATACAAATGAATGTATGTGTATATATACATATGTACTATGTCTGTCTGTATTTATAGCACAGCTATACCCACAATAATCAATGCAATGAGCTTCATTTATTTAAAAGCAATTGGCTAAAATGGCAGCACAGTGCAAAAAGGTCAAAATGAATTTGAAATCAGAATTTGCGATACGACTGGTTAGGTACAAAGTTAAGCGGCGGTGAACTTAACTACATATGTATTTAGTAAATATGTACATATGTATGCAGTGGCGCGCAGCATTGAGCTAAGCCGAGCTGTGTCTTGTTGTGGTGGCAAGTGTAGCTTGGTTGGGAACATTGAAAGCACTGCAGCTACACTTATACCTTCTTAAGCTCCGCTGCGGATCAGTAACACTCCTCAAAACTTGACAGGCGCTAGTGCCGGCTTGAGAAAAAACAAGCGTGGTGGTAGAAGATTTACAAAAAAAAATACAAAAAACAGCAACAAAGTATGCATAAAATCTAAACAGAAACCTGTTGCACGCGGCACTGGCATTGTTGGATGCCAACCATAGCCGACTTTGCAGACAATTATAGCCGCTCAGCTTTGCTGCGAGACAAAGTGGGAGCTTCTTTTAAATGCTAACTTTGACTTCGGCTATGCGCTTAGTTACATATTAACAGAATATCACTTACTGTGCGGCGGCGATTGTACATTCAAACTTACATATGTACATACATACATATGTAGGTGCATATTCTGTGTATGTTCATCCATCACATAGTCTTAAGTACATGACTTCTCATCCTCATAGTACACGTGAGCTTCGTTTAACAGTCATTTTTAAACCCATTAGTGCCTTCATTTGTTGTGAGTGAATTACCTAGTGTCTCATATGCGCTGCTTCGTACATATTAGTTTCCAATGCAAATTTTCTTTGATTCTTTTTTGTTTTTGCATAGCTTCACTTTTTGGCACTTTAATTTATTAGCCGAGATTTCATTGGGAAATCTGTGAAATATTTTTTTTCGCTTAACTTGTTGAAGAAGCGCACGTGTAGGGTTGCCATGTAAAAAACATCATAGTCAGGCGGTGGAACGTCGGAGGCTAGGTTCTAGAATAAAAATATCAATACAGCTTCTTGGTTGTCTCCAGATCGAAAATCGATAACCAAAATAGATCTTGTTGTGATAGACGGAAGGCGCGCTTTCCGTGTTTTAAACGTACGTTTATTTACTACGCAGGCCAAACATCCACACGAACTAACTACTATCTTGTTGCAGCAAAGATACGCAGACGCCTGTGTGCAGAAAAAAGCATTGAAAAGAAAAGTGAACGTCGGAAAACTGCATTTACAGCAGACGACCGATGCATTCGCTACTCTACTCTCATACCTTTTATCACAGAACACTCTTCAACAAGCCGACATATGCGAGCAGTGGAACCACATTTCCCGTTTCTGCTACCCCGCAAGAACTACTGATAGCGAGTGTGGAAATACGAGAGTTCAATGAGTTAAAAACGTTGTTGTCGGCCAACCAATGCCAGAAAATTGTATAAGAAAGTTAGGCGACTTATGGAAAGTTTCAAGACCAGAACAAACTTATGTAAGAAAGCATAATCTTTTTAACCGACTTCCAAAAAAGGAGGAGGTTATCAGTTCGTCGGAATATTTTTATTTTTTTTTATGTATGTATGTTACCGCATAACTTTGCACCACATCAACCGATTTTAATAATTCTTTTTGCAACGGAAAGGTAGTGTCTAAGAGGTGGTCCCATACTAATTTGGTTTAGACCCGATGATTTGATCATGAAATATATAGATATATATATATTTTTTTTAAGTCGGTCTTTTTTATGCTAAAAATTACTTGTTATTAGTTGGAATTCGATTTCCCACATTATTGCAAAAAAAAAAAATTAACCCTTGACGACCGATGGGTCATAAGGGGTCACTTCTTAATTTGTGGTTTAATTAAAAAAGTTTCATAGCAGTGTTTTTTTATATTCAAGAAAAAAATTCCACCTAGTTCTAATGAAGTTTATAGAGTGGCACATTCTAAAAAAACCATTGCCAAAGTATATTAATTTCAATTGAAGACATGAATGCTCTAAATTTTCCAATTTGTCTGCTGCAGAGTTAAAAGGAATGGCCTTTGCAGCCACATAATTGTAAACAGCACTTTGTTTCCTTTTTATTGAGTTAGAATAAGAAGCGTTTATAATAACGGCAACTCTATGATCAACGTCATTTTCGCGTACAACCAGAAGTTGCAAGTTAATCGCCGCTGGCTATTTATGTATGTATAGATGTATTTATGTTGCAAATCTGACGCTACATGCTTTCATGTCTAGCATAGTCAATGAATGAGTGGCCATCACGGCGACAAATATAGGCAAATAGATTATGTGTATTCGCAAATGCTTGCGGCATGCAACATGCAACTTGCTCATATACACATACATACGTACAAGGTGAGTGTTGCAATCATGAATGATTGAAAAAAGATGTTTGCACATAAATACATTTATACATACATAAGTAATTGGTTATTTTCTTGGAATTAAAATATTTCAAATGTTAAAAATAAATTTCAAGGGACTTGACAGCGATGGGAGTAGCTGGTCAAAGTGTGGGAAGATTTTAAAGCCAAAGCACAAACATTGCATACATATATATGTACATATGAACGAAATATATGTTAACTATTTATATAGATTCATGGGTATATCTTTAAGCATATAATTTTAGATGCGGTTTTCATTTGAAATCTTTTTGATGAAAATTTTAAAGATGTATCCACTTCATGGCCCCTATTGCGAGTGTCGACTGGCAGTAGAATAGAAATTTGTCGATCGAGTCGATCATCTTTTATTTTGCTATTGTGTAACTTGATCGATAAAAATTTGTACTATTGTGAATGGTTGACGGAATTGTAAACAGCTGTTTGTTTGTTTACATTTGTTTCTTTAATGTTTCATTTACATCATTTTTAAAATAACTGCTTTTATTAGGTTCATTCCTTATCTTTTTGGACTAAAATCTGAAAAGTGTCAAAATGCCAGAGCGTAAGCAAAATGCGCTCACTAAAAGAGAATAACAGGAAAAGTAAAGGAACGCAAAAAACCAAATTTTTAGTCCAAAGAATGGCAACAACAAAACTAACGTCAAATAAGAACAGAAATGTACGTACAAAACATTCACACAAGCACAAGCATAATAAACACTTGCTATATCAATTATTTTTTGCCTTCTTCCAATTTCAATTCATTTCTTTTACTTTTTAGATTATTCTCACTTTTAGCGTATTCTTTAATTTCCGTTAATTTAAATTCAGTTGAGTTTGACACTTTTCAGGATTTTGCCAGAAAAAATTCTTCTGACTAAATCTGACTACTTCGGACTGATGAGAGTCACTCTCACTGACTGTTGCTCTCTCATTTTTGCTGTCATTTCCGAGTTAAGGAACGCTTTTTGGACTAAATCTGACTACTTCGGACTTTTTCAGACTATTTCTGGGAGATAAGGAACGCTCCTATTATAAAATTAAAAAAATGGACTCAGTTGAAATATGGTTTAGTGATGAGGAAGATGATGTGGAAGCTAATAGATTAGTAGAGTTGGCTAAAGCAAGGAGGGAATTGCGAGATTCGTCGGATCCCTTGGAGTTGGAAGATGAAGTGTATGTACATATGTGAATTTTATGAATAGAAGTTGCGTTCCCGATGCTTCAAGGTTTTTAGGTTTTACAGGATTTGCAGGAAAAGCTGTTTTCCTCATTAATAAATTTTATGGAAGTTTAAGAAATACGGTACCGTTTAGTTATTTGTACAATGATGTTGAGTATTTGTGTCCAAACGCGTGACCCGAGTTTTAAAACTTTAACATACAAGTGTAGTGAAAGAATTAAACTTTAATTTAACATAAAGATTTCAAGTTTCCGAGCACTAGTTAATTAATAAATTATGCAGTATTTTGTAAACTTTGATGTTGGTTCTGCGCAAAAACACTGTGGATGGCGTAGCCGGAATTATATGCACAAGAAATATTGTATATCTTTCACAAAAGAAGCGGAGCTTCCTCCACTGCTCTTTACGGAAATTCCTTTGCCTATGTCCTCACTCTCCTGCATCAGCTCGACCAACCGCGCAAGTTGCCTTTTGTTGCTTACAATTTTTGATCTGTAATTCAGACACATATGTACATACATATGTATATTTCACAATTTTTTACAACTTCCAATTCAATTGACTTACTTTTTATCCATTATAGTACCAATTTCTTATGTAAATTTTATAAACGCAAACTCTAACGACTAAAAAACAGCAATAGAAGGATGAGCGATTTAAAAGTATTCACAGTCGCTAATTGAGCGACTAAGCGACACTCACAATACCATCGATAATCGATAATCGCTTAATAGTCGTTTATCTACTGCCAGTCGACACTCGCAATAGGGGTGCATATCTTTCCGTTAACACAGAAACGAATCAGACCTTATTGTTAATGCAGTTTACTAATAAATTTCATTAACACTTAATATTAATTTAACACTTAAAAACTAATGAAAATTTTATTTTCTGCTCTAAAAATATCCCGTCGAATTTTCGCGTATATTTTGTGACCCCGCATTTGCAGCCAAAACATCAACCGATTGTGTGCGTTTCTCCAGAAAGCTAAAATTATACCAACGTTCGTTTTTACCAAAGTTTTCGCCATCCTCCAAAGAAGTGGGTAGAGTTCTAGAACGGAAAAGAAAAGTAGAAATACAAAAGATGCAACGAAAGCTGAGTTTAAGTAATTGAAACTTAGTTTTAGGTACTACATAGTTTGGAACGAAATTCCGTCATCCATTGTCAAATTTTATTTAGAAACAGACTGTCTTGTTCGTACTTTCCATCCATACTCTTAGTTTTGAACACTGCGCTTACCAAGTCGAGCAGGTGGTCGAACGACCTAGATGACTACAACTAAAAACAAATCAATACTAAAAAACGAAGAAATGGAAGACGAAGCGAAAGAAAGGCATCACGGTGCGCGGCAGATAGACCCTGAGATCGATAGTATGGCTACGTTGAAGCGGAAAGTTCGACGGAAGAAATGACTGCTGACTTTCCC